AGAAATGATGTGTCTTCCTGTGCAGTGTTCTCCTGTTTGGGCATGAGGGTGGGCAGACTGTGGTGGGGAGTGGGGGTGGGATTTGGCCATGCCCGCTGGTGCTGCTCAGGAACCTTTGCCACCTCACCTCATAGTCCTAATCCATGTGGTCTTTGGGAGACAGGTCATTTGTCTCCTACATTCTGCCCATGAAAGCCTGTATGTGTGTATATGGTGGTGGGGCAACCAGGGAGGGAGGAAGAGTGGTGGCTACATGAAGGTTTGGTGTGATTCACGTGGCTGCAGTGGTGGATGCGGTTAGCTGTGGATGTGGGGACATTAGTTATGAATCAGCCACAAGATTTTGAGGTTGCTGAAAGAACAGCTTCTGACATTAAAGGCTGCCCTCAAGATGAGGAAGACCTCAGAAGGGACAGAAGAGTTAATGTATTGTGAGAAATTCATACTGAAGTTACTGTCCACAGACACATTACATTTCTACTCAAAGCAGGAAATCCAGAAGCTTTGAAAGACAGGATAGCCATATTTAACTGCATGTAAAAAGCAAAGTAAAACACATTTGCTTTCCTTTAAACAAAACTTTTTGAAAGAAAGAACTATACCAGCTTTCTTTAGTTTTTCTCTTCTTCAGTGCTTTTCTGAAACCCCCAATTCCCCAGTCAGATTTTTGCCCAACAATTTCAGCCAAACTGCTGAAGTCACTCATGATTTCCACATTGTTATATCAACACTCAAGTGTCAGACCTCCTCTTACCTAACCCTTCATCAACATTTGACACAGCTGATCATCTCTATCATGAAACTAACTCTTTATTTGGTTTCTAGGATGCTAATTTTCCTCCTCCCTCACTGGCAACTCTTCCACAACAGTGCCTGAAATATAATAGGCACTCACTAAATATTCACTGCATGAAATAAAGGAACAAATAAATATATGTGGGAAAATACAGAGACATGGTTAGAGAACTTAGTTGTTTATTCAATGATTACTAGTTCAGTTTAGTTTCACGACTGTTGACTGACCACCTCTTCTCTGAGAACCCAGAGGAAGGAGTTCACAGTCTAATCGGGGAGACAGGCACAGAAACAATTTCAGTGAAGTATGGCCAGTGCATTAACAGTGATTGTTTCATTGGGTTGTGGTAGTCTCAGGAAAGATGCTCAGCCTAACTCTGGAAGCCTCTTTGAGGAGAAGGAATCTGAATTGAGTTTTAAAAAACAAAGACTCCTTTAGGTAATGAAAGGAAGGAAAGGGCTGTCCAGCCAGAAGGAATAGCATATGTAGAGGTCTACTGGTGGGAAACAGCTAGTGAAAATAAGTTAACCACACCCACATTTCATCTATCTTTCAACGGGGATATTCTGAAAAACTTTGTCAAATAACTAAGTCCAAATGTGTCAAGGGAGCCCTGGTAGCATAGTGGCTAAGGCGCTTGACTGCTAACCAGAAGGCTAGCAGTTCAAACCCACCAGCTACTCCTCGGAAGGAAGATGGGACAATCTACTTCTGTAGTGATACTGCCTCGGAAACCCAAGGAGGGGTCGCTATGAGTTGGGTGCGACTCGACGGCACATAACAACCATAACAACAACAAATGTGTCAGTGGGCTTCTGCTTATGTAATAATTTGGTCATTATCCAAAAAGGCAACTTTATGCCAATTGGATTGAAAGATAAGACATATTTGACAAACTCCTAAAAACATATAATCTACCAAAATGGTCTCTCAAAAAGAAAGCAGTTTATAGCCATTAAAGTGACAGAACCTGTAACCAGAAATCGTTACATAAAGAAACTCTGTACCCAAATGGCTTTGCTGGTGAAAGACTCAAGAAACATATAATTCCAGTTTTACGAAAGCAATTTCAGAATGTAGAAAAAAATTCAATTCATTTTACAAAAACCTGATAAGCCAAGGAAGAATATTACTGTACAATCTCAAGAACACAGATAGAAATACACCAAGCCAAATGATAGTAGCCTAAGTCAAATAGATTAAAAAGTATGTGACCAAGTTGGATTTATTCCAAGAATGCAATGTGGTTTAACATTTGAACTCAATCAGAATACTCCATTAGCAGATTTTAAAATACTTTTTTGTTGGTATTGAGAATATATACACAGAGTATACACCAATTCAACAATTTCCACATGTACCATTCAGGGACATTGATGACATTCTGCGAATTGTGTAACCATTCTCACCCTTCTTTGCCAAGTTGTTCCTCCTCCATTAATACAAACTCATTGCCCCCTAAAGTTTCTAATTTTTTTGAGTTGCTGTTGTCAATTTGATTTCATATAGATAGATCTTAAAAGAATACAGTGCTCGAGGCAAACATTCTTTACTAGCTAAACTGAACCGTTGTTTGGTTTTAAGAAGACTTCAGGGGATATTTTTGGTTTAAAGTTTAAAGATGCCATTCTTAGCAAATGAGTTGAATGAACTTTCCTAACATAAAGTGTGTCTACAAAGATTTACAGTAAACTACATACTTAAAAGTGAAATATTAAGAGCTTTGACAGTTGGAGTACAGCAAGGATGCCTGCTATCATCTTTTCTACTTAGATCTTAGCCAGAATAAATTGTCATTATTTGTATATGATACATTGTGTATATAGAAAATACATGATAACTCATAGATAAGTTATTAGAATAATTAAGAATTTATAAACATTTCTGGCTATGAACCCCATATTTAAAAATCTATTGCTTTTATATGCTAACATACAAAATTTAGTGAAGATATCATTTATTAACTAAGAATAAATCTAACAAAAACGAGCTAGCTCTTTTTGAAAAGAAAAAAAAAAAAACCCTCATTGAAAGACATTTGAGAAGATCTAAATAACCAGATTTATTTCAATGAAGAATGGAAGAGTCAATATAAATCTATCAATTTTCTCTAGACTGTTTAGTAGGTTCCAGGAAAATTCAATCACAATTCCAATAGATTTTGAGTGTGTGTGGATCATAACAAGGTAATTCTTAAATTTTTGAAGTGTCAAGACAAGCCAGGACACCCGTACTTAACATAAAGGCATAGTAATTTAGATGGTGTGATATTGCTGCAAGGATAGACAAGTAGGCCAAAGAAGGACTAGTGGTATCAGAAACAAGCCTACTCACATGTAGAAACACATTATGGGACCAAGAAGTATTGCAGACCAGTGGAGGAATAGCTAGACTTTCAAGAAATGGAACAATTGATTATTGGGAAAAAACCACAAAAACTTGGATCCTTACTTCACAACATAAATAAAAATAATTGTAGGTGGACTCAAAGCCTAAATGTGAATGGCAAAACCAAAGAGCTTTAGGAATATGATATAGAATAGCTTTATGTACTCATGGTAGAAAAGTATTTCTAAAAGAAGACAAAAAAAAAAAAACTTCAAACATAAATAACGTTCAATTACATTGAGAATGTCTATTGATCTAATTTTTTTTTAAAGAAAATATGGAGTGAAAACACAAGCCACAAATTGGGAGAAGAGAATTGAAGTTTGTATAACTGATGAAGGGTTCAAACCTAGAATATATTAAAAACTACAAATAAAAACAAGACATGCCAATAAGTGTATAATTAAGTCGTGGTATATCCTTAGAATGGAATATTATACAACGAGAATGAAATATCTATAACCACATGCAACAATATGGATGGATTTTACACCTATGGTACTGGACAAAAGAAGTCAAAGCCAAAAAATTACACACTGATAATCTATTTACATAAAGTTAAAAAACAGGCAAACCTAATCCATGTATTGCTTGAGGATCATACATACATGGTAAAATTGTAAAGAAAAGCAAGGGAATAATTATGACAAAGTTAGGATAGTGTTTACCTCTAGGGGAGGCAAAGATGCTATTGGGAAGGGACCTAGGAGACTTCTAAATTGCTGATAATTGTCTACTGCTAGACCTTGGTGGTGGTTAAATGGATGTGTACTTTATTAATATTCATTAAAATGTATTTTAATAAAGCAGAAAATGAATATGAATAGTATGGAACATTGAATAGCAGTGAAACATTGTCAGATATATTACTAAAACACTTTATGAATAGCAGTGAAACATTGATATAATGCCAGAAGATAAGCCCCTCATGTTGGATGGCACTCAACATACAACAGGGAAGAGCTGCCTAATTAAAGGAGAGTTGACCTTAATGACATGGATGGATTAAAACTTTTGAGATCTTCATTTGCTGATGTGGTACAACTCAAAATGAGAAGAAACAGCTGCAAACATCCATTAATAATTAGAACATGGAATGTATGAAGTATGAATTTAGGAAAATTGGAAGTTTTCAAAAATGAAATGATATGCATAAAGATTGATATCCCAGCCATTATTGAGATGAAATGGACTGGTACTGGCCATTTTGAATCAGTCAGTCATATGTCCTACCATGCTGGGAATGACAAATTGAAGAGGAATGGCATCACATTCATTGTCAAAAAGAACATTTCAAGATCCATCCCAAAGAATAATGCTGTCAGTGATAGGATAATAC